AATAGGAACCTAGGCTGGAATTTAAAATGTACCCATCAGGGCTGGACGAATTTCAGATATTTAAAAATGAGCTGCCTGGGTTTCCCCTCTACTGAAGGATATCAGTAAGCACCTCCAGAAGACAATTCAACTCAACCTACAATATTGCTATTTACTCCACTGACTGCAGAGACGGCCTACATGTTTAGTTTACTGAATTTAGGTGAAATAACTCTTAAGTGTAAAGTATGCCACCAATCTCTTTCAAGACACCTAAGACTTTGTTTGGATAAAGCTATCACTTTATAACAACACAGAATGGCATTTATTTGATAATAGCTCCCAGCTGTTAGAGCACTGGCACTCTCGCAAGATATGAAAGATTGAGGCAGAGGAGGAATTTTAACTTGCTTCTCCCAAACTCTGGCAGTACGCTTACCACCACTACACATCACCTGCGAAACATGAGTGAGCAGGTCAGGTACCTGCCAAAAAAGTCCTGCAAGTAAAGCAGGCAGATGAACAGGTGAATCTGGCTAGGGTGCACCTGCAACCCTCAAGACCGCGTTTTTCTTCTCTGCTCAGCAGCAAAAATACAGGTTCCTTGACGGTCTCTACTGGATTAAGAAGAGAGAGGTAGAGATCCTAAGAAACATCTGGGTTCAAGCTTTACTGTGTATCTGAATTTTGGATTCAAACACTTCACACACCAACTAGACATATAAAATCTTTTGTAGACCCAGCCTAGAATCAATGACATGTACACATTTTGTGTATGTAATGGATTATTCTTCTACTATTATGGTGTAGAAAAAAGTGGAAATTAAGCTTTAGAACTGCAGTAATCATGAAAATAATTCCTATGAATAAAAATTATTGGTACTCCACATACAACACTAAGTCCTTTTTATATCTAGTTATCAATTCTGATACATACCCCTGCATGTATCCAAAGTCTGTAATCAATCTTACTGTTCACAGTTGATTTACTAATCAGCAGCTTTTAATTTCAATGAAGTGTAATTTACAAACATAGTCAGACTAAAAGAATTCTGAATAAGATCAGATGCAATTGCTTTACATCAGCATCACAATAAATTTACCTGCATACTTGTACTTGATCTGTGGCTATGTTGCTCTCCAAAACAAGCTAATTAATAAAAACGATAAAATCTAATGAACAACATTGACCCACACAATCCTTGTTTGTTTTGAATATAGATGGAGGGAACTAGCAGCACAACACAGAGAACGCTTATCTTGTAAACAACAACAAAGAATACCTTCTAAAAAAAGGGAGTCATTACTAGTCATGTCTAGGCATTGTATAGATAGCAGTCTTTAATAGCTGGAAT